TGTGTGTGTGTGTGTGTGTGCCCCGTGCTTTGACGCTCGGGCAGCTACTGTACAGGAGTGCGCGCTCTCTCACCATCTCTGAGAAATTAGTACCGGGGGGCTGTGGCAGGAGGTTTCTTTCGGGGTGCCGAGGCGCGTCCCACGGACTGGATTGGGGATGGCGCTGTGTACAGTGTGAGGGAGAGCGAGCAGCCAAAGTTTGCAGAGCGCAGGCAGGAAAGTTCGCAGCAGAGGCGACCCAGGCTCCTCTGACATATCACCCATGGATTTCCAGTGCCAACATGCGGACTACACACTTCAAATAAGGCGGATTTTCGGGCTGTTTTGCGGATGTTTTCAGAGATTTTCTGCCCGTCCCGTTCAGTTTGTTGCCGTCACTGCACGCTGCTGTTTCAATGGACAGTTCGTCTCTCTTATCATCCAGTGAGTAACTTGGACTGAAGTTGATCGCATGGTTTCCTGACCCTGTGGATAAGTGTGAGCATGGCTTCAGTGACGCTGTGCCATGTAGCCTAGTCGTGGATGTTTAAAAACAATGAACTCCCCCCGTGACAAGGACCTGGCACCCTTATCTCGGAAACACCGTCTCATGGCTGCAGCTATGCCCGGTGAGGACAGCCCATTGCCCGGCAACATTTCCAGGAGTGATCGGAATGGATTTGGGGGACTTGTTTATTGTTTTATATGTGGAAGCGGAGTCACGCCAGGGAAGGAGCTGAGGCTGCAAGTGACTTATCAGAAAGAGAGGCTTCCCTTTTTCCCGTTTCTGCAAAACCAGGAGGCTGCGCCGGGTGCGTGTGAAGTGAGCCCGGATGGACATGCGCTGGTGTGCGCCGTGTGCCACTGTTTCCTGGCGGAGCAGTGGAACTCCTTCGAGCGGAGCAGGACGCCCATCGAGAAGCGCATGTACTGGCTGAAGCGACCCTACCAGTGCGACTCCCGGCGGGTCCCGCAGGAGTGGAACATCTCCTACGACCTGGAGAGGAGAATCGGACAGAACTACGACGGGGGCGCAGAGTCGGATTTCTCATCCTTTTCTGAAAACGAGAACATGTCAGACCAGGAGATGGACGCGGTGGACAGAGCCAGTGTGGGCAAGTGCCCGAGAGCAGCTGGCAAATCGCCGAGAGACAGTGGCAGGAAAAACAATGTCATCAGTGTTAAAAACAGCCCGGATTCACAGCGGGCGATCCGCTACCCGGTGGGTGTTTACGGGGCACAGAGGTCGCCAAAAGCGGAAAGTGTTGTCCCGGCGAGGCGCGGGGCTAAAATGATGAATAATGTCTGTCAAGCATCAGAGTCTGTGGCAAAGGCTCAGGAGAGATTCCCTCTGCGGTGCTACGACGGTCCTCTGTCCGACACACCTGTGCAAGACAACGGGGTCATTATGCGCAACAGGCGGTGGCAGGAAGAGCCGCGTCAGATCCAGCGTGGTGCCGACAGCAGCTGCGCTCCGTCCAGACATCCGTCGCTGCTGTACCGAGGAACCGGCGAGCATCACACCAATGCTACTGTCACCACGAAAGCTGCCCCCGGGGAGAACAACTCTGACAACTCCGATGAAGACGAGATTAACATAACGAGCGACGATGACAGGGACGTATATGGGTGCAGAGCAGGCCCCTCAATTCAGCTGAGACCTGCCAGAGACCTTTCAGCGAGGAAGAGCGCCCAGGAGCGCACACCTAAGGAGTCCAGGCCAGAGGAGTGTGTGTGTTATGTCTGTGGCACTGGGCTCAAACACGATGACTGCTTTAAAGTCAGTGTTCAGAAACAGGAGAGAGCACAGGGCGAGCCCTTCTTTCCCTTCCTGTGGCTGCACTCCCCTCCACGTGGTGCGGTGCCTATCAGTTTGGCAGGTACCACCCTGGTGTGTGGAAGCTGCCACACCTCCCTCATGCAGCAGTGGCAGAGCTTCCAGCTTGCAGATGTGCCTGTGCTCCAGCGCCTCTATGTAGTCCCCCTCAACCAGACCACAAGCACTCTCCGTCCCGCCCAGCTTACTCCCCAGGAGGGAAGGCCCTCAGAGCCCATGCAGTGCATACCTAAACCCAAGGCCTCCCATGAGGCCTGTTACCTCTGTGGTCAGGAGTGTGGGGGGGACATGAGAGTGGCATATGCACAGGCTGGTGTGGGGAAGTCCCGCGGTGTGATGTATTTTCCCTTCATCAATATGTTGCCTTGCCCACCTAACGCCCAGGGGCTGAGTCAGGGCCGGGTGCACTGCTGCTCACAGTGCCATTTAATCCTGGAGGAGATCTGGGGTGCATATCGACTCAGCCTCAGTGAAGAGCTAATCACTTCTGTCAGCTCCTTCCTGGTCAGGTACCACACTGCCATGGCCATTGAGGGGTCGGAACCCGCCCATTCCCAGAGAGGTGTGTCTTCTCGCCCCGGCAGCTCCATGTCGGTGTGTTACCTGTGTGGAGCTGAGTTGTTTGCAGGTGGAGAGTACCAGCTTCATGTCAACCCACCTGGGCGTTGTGGGGAGAGGGAGCCTTTCTTCCCCTTTCTCACTGTCCACCCTCCTGCTCCTCGCGCCAAACCAGCTGACGCCACAGGCCTTGTGTCGGCTTGTAACCTCTGCTATCATGACCTGCGTGCCCAGTGGGCCCTGCATGAGAACAAAGGCCAGGGACCCTCTACCCCTTCTACCTCTAGCTTACCCAGTGGCAACCCCCAGCTGCCCAGCTCCCCATGGGCCCGACAGTACAACTGCGAGGCATTTGTTTGTTTCTTCTGCAGGCAGGAGCAGCGCAGGCAAGGTAGGCTGTGCGCCGTTACTATGGCCAGGCTACCTGTGTTCCTGTATGCCCCTCGCAGCACGCGCACACTCCTGGTGGATGATGGAAAGAGGCTGGTGATTGGCGCATGTGTGGAATGTAAGGCCATGGTGCAGGCGGGACAGAGGATGCAGCAGGACAGGGACAGACATGGACATGGATCATCAGACGAGGAGAGGAGGGAACCGGAATCGGCCTCGCCACGATCTAGACACAAGGTAAGACCAAAGCACACTGCCTGTTGACACAGCAGCACAGCCATATGCCTCTCTTTTTCCTTGCGCTTTTAAATTTAACTCAATGAATTCTTGGGCCTTGTTAAAATGACACTCATCTGTCATCTATTAATTCCCCCTGAATTCCCACAGGGCAGAGCAGACTGTGTTTGGCCTAATACGACCTCTGAGTCACACAGCAGAGGGATGATTTTGATGTCTTTGGGGGGTGGCAGCGTACGCAACTTGGATGAACAATGATGAGACAAACATTTTCATCAAAACGTACTTCTATAAACACCAGAGGAAAAATATGGGGATCTGAAGGCCAAGGCCGGCCTTGTGTTTGCTCTGTGCATGTGTGTGTGAGTGTGTTTATTTTAACCAGCATGACTGAGTGTGTCTCAGCCAGCGCTGTAGTTTGTTTTAGTTTGAGCATGTTGAGGATCTTGAGGAGTATTTTCAGGGAAGTGAATAAGTCTCCACCATATTTCCTCCACTAATGACAAATCACAAATGCATAAACAGCAGATGATTGTATAAAACTTGCTCAAATACACCAGTACCATCACTACCATAATTTAGAGATTAAGTGAGCAGACAAAATGAAATAAGAACCATACTCATCAAATAAAAATATATATCCAGACAGTTGAGATACTGTAGTTCAGTGATGTGCAGACTGGCAGAAATCTCCTGAAATATACAGTCTAACAGCAACATTTATGGATATGTTGTCACATCTGTCTGAATCCTATTTAGCCAAATCACACATTTCTATTGAACACATCTGTTCTGTTTGACGTCAGTATGAGACCAGAGTAGCAAACAATTAAAGATGAGGTGTAAAACAGTTTTGGTAAAACATAAAACAAGGTCACACCTGCAGAAGCTGCAGTGCTGCCGCTGAAGAGGGTAGTGTTGTCAAATTCATTGTTTAAAATGGTCACGATTGAATAACACACTCTTTTTAGTTGATTGAATATCATTGATTATCGATAATATACTTAATTATTGCAGCTGAAACATTGATATTTTAGACGTACATGATGAAAGACTTTGAAATAACTTGGAACTATTTCCAACACATGCACAAAACCCCTTCCTCGCTGTTAAAATGTTGAGAGCACAACCCTGCTTTAGATGATCAATAGCAGAGGATGCATGATGGAGGTGTCAGGTCATGTGGAGGACTAGTGCAAAGCGAACAAGGGTGGTGGTGTGCTAATGAAGGGCTGAGGAGCATGTAGACAGCCACTTGGCTCTGTGAACAGCTCTGAGCAGCTCCCTCATGCAAACCGACAGTGACTGTCCTGGCATGCAGGACATGTGAAGAACATCTGCGGATGTCATTGACACTCAGCAACCTCAATGTGTTGTGCACTCAAACCGGAGCTGTCTAGAGCTGTTCACTTTCTAGCTGTCCCTCACAGAAGTGCTTTGGAGTAACGCTGTCACTCTGACCTCAAGTCTTAAGACTTCATTATTTGTCTGATCATAAGTATTTGCCTCATAGCAATCATACGTGAGGGGCTACTCCTGATATAGAGGATAATTATGGCACCAGCTCCGCAGCGTGGGTGGAATGAGAAAGGTTGTCGAGGCAGGCAGGGTTTCAGGTGATCATTTTGGACTGGGGGTGTTGCAGGTGGCACAGCCAGCTTTGGCCTGAGTGAGCCGGTGACCTCATGGATGAGAAAGTGCCAATGTGCGTTTCTGTGGGGAAGGGGAGCGAGGGAGCGAGCCTGCGGGGGAACAGGTGCTTTGTCCTCTAGTGTCATGTTATATGCTTTAGAGCGTCTGTCATCGCTGTCTGTCAGGAGGGAGTGCCCATCTGGTTCCCCTCAGCACTTCATGTGCCTGCTGGGGGGGGTATACAAAGAGTAACAAAGATTAACACAAGCTCACATACAGTATTTCTATTCTATTCTATTCTAGTCTAGTCTAGTTTATTTTTCCACGTTCCCTCACACAGAAAGTGCAAAGACTTTGTTGATGTAAAATTTTTAATTAAGGCCAGAATGTATTTGCAATTTTTGTCATTACATTGCCCAATTTGGTGTCAACATGATTATATGTATGAGTGAATATCCTGTGGAGTGTGAACAGGCTGGACGATGTTGCTCTGCCTTTTTTCCCAGCTTGGTGAGATATGAAATGAGATCTGCCACAGGACACTCTAGTAGCTGTTAAATGTTAGACACACACACATACACTCACACACAGATCGGTGGTTCTCGTGTTCTCTGTACTTCTGCTGTGTGTTTAATTAGTATGTTGGACGTGACCTTTGACAGGTGTGTAAGTACCACCCGCCAGCCCCCAGGGAGGGGCTGCCGGTCAGCATGTCCTTCACTTGCACTCTCGGGAAAACAGATGTTTACTGATTTGTCCCCCGTCCTTACATTGGAATCATGTTAGGAAAGATGATCTCTTCATAGAGATGCTCCATGTGAATATAGGCATTTTTATCCTCAGTTGAAAAATGTTACATCCTTCAAGGGAAGATGCACAATATTCTGCATCTGAAGATAAAATGCACATTGGTACCAGCAGAGTAAGGCACACTTGTGTAGTGGATCCATTAAGTAGTTACATTAGTTAACCTGCATCCTCCCATGGATCTGCACTGGATTAGTTGGAGGGCTGTTATGGAGATTGTGTTTTTGTCAGTGGTTGCTTTTTTGTTCAGGATTAAACTACTCAACAGATACCCATGACATTTTGTGAAGGAGTGGGGCATGGCCCAAGAAAGAATCTTTTAAATTTTGTTGCAGATTTAGAATCAGGGGGCGGATCGTGACCATTGCCATGTTCTTTAATGAGAATAATTCATGGATTTTGATGAAAACAAATCAGACATTTTTAGGGGACTGATATTTATGAGTGTGTGAAATCTGGTGCAAATCCAAAAATCCAGATTTGTTGAAGTTAAATGTGGTTTCATAGGGAACTGTTGGGCCTTGGAGGAGGTATGCACTCTACTGAGTGCCATTCTTTGTCCATCCCTCAACTGCACATTGCGTGCCCACCTTCACTAACAGAAGGTCTCTACTGCCCGTTTAAACCAGACACAAATTGCACAAAGCCCAAAGAGCATAACCAGATATCTCTTTTTAAAAGCATAAAGAAAAAAGGGTCAAACGTTGAAACAGAAGAATTTGAAAAACAGGAATGAGGGAATATTCAGACACTTAGTCCCTGAGTAAACACACGATGTACGCTATTTAAACTGAGAGTGTGTGGATGTGTATTCATGCATGGATGCGAATCTATGTATGGTGGTCTGCTGAGTGACAGTTTTGAGTGGATAATTATTGTTTGCCTGATGGGCGCCGTGTGTATGTGTGTGTGTGTGTGTGTGTGTGTGTGTTTTGGTGTAAAAGATTGACTGTGTTTTCAGTGCATGGCCCATATGCTGTGAAGGAGGTATTTGCTGTCACAGGAAAAATATGCCGGCGTCTTGACAGTGTCGCCAAGGAAGATTTATGGTGGAGTGAAAGGAGTGAGGGCAAAATTACACATCCAATCTGGATGCAAAGTTGAAAAACTGAGACAAAGAAATGATCCTGAGTGAATTATTGGAAAGAGAAGAAGGAGCGAAAAGAAGAGTGGGAGGCTGGGACAAGGTGAGGGGGTTAATGGGATTTAAATTGCAGCCAGAGCCAAACAGAACGTCTCATTCTCATTAATTCATCATACAGGAGAGCTTTTTTACCCAGAAAAGGGGATTCTATTAAAAATGTGTTAATTTGAGGCATGTGAGGTGGCGTGCTCGTACCATATGGTGGGAGCTGTCCATGTGCGTGCTTTTGCGTATGAGTGTGTTAAGTCAAAACCATTCATGTTGCGTGTTTCCTGCAAAGTTCCTGCAGCTGTGCTCCTCTCCTTCCCTCAGTAGTGAGGTCGGACGGACAGCCTTGCGTTTCACGGGGAATCCTCTGGTATCTGAGGGGATTACTTTCAAAGCTGCTGTCGGTGGGTTTTGATTTAGCGCTCAGAGTTTTAATCACCTTCTTCCCACTAGCATCCCTCTGTGCTCCATTCTTGCCCATATCTGAGTGGACCGATCAGATCCGGTATGGAGGAGACGAGATGGAGTTGCTCCAGTGTTTCATTCTTTGTTTCAACTTTTATGTCTCAGCCTTTTAGACACTTTCCTATAGGCTGGACAAACCTCCCTCAACGCTACTTTGAGGGACACCAGAGACCCCGACCTGTCCCTTCGCCTGCTGCTTTATCTCTGGCCTTCTGCTCACTGTTAGCATACAGTACATACAGTGCAGTCAGTACCTACGCTCACTTTCAGTCAGGAGAGACTTGTTTACCTCTCTTACGCCAAAAGAAGCAGGTATACGCAGGTTTGCATATTAAGTTATACCTGCTAAAAGGCGATTATCTCCTTTCTCATTACCAGTAGAGGAGTTTGTTTCCCTGTTTTTTCCCACCAGTGCGTCATGTTCAACATCAGGAATGTACCTAAAACTGAGGCGCTCTCTTACCTCACTGCAAGACAAAACAAAACAACAACAAAAAGACAGTGTCTATTGCAGAGTCATTTGGAGTGACTGACCATTGTATCCATTCCAATCATAGAAAAAAAGCAGATTTTATTAAATGTTTGTGGTTTTCTTGACCTGTTGAAAATAAATTGTGAACAGAGGAAAACACTTTGGCGTATCGACTACGTCAGGAAGTAGAACCCCATGGAAGCAGTTTTATGATTAGTGCTCCAGATATGATGTAGGCTTTCCCCCACGGTCTAGAGACTGGTAGTGATGAGAAATGGAGCAAGAAGGTAAAGGACCTCTGGGTGGATAGTTGGAGGGAGACCACCGGGTATCCAGAGTTGAGGTGCAGTTGGGTTTGAGGTGGGTCACTCAATGATTGTGGTACTGAACTGACAGCTGAAAGACAGGTGGGAGAGAGAACACATTTTCACAGTTTACAGGTGATTTGCTCAAGGGATTGGAAGAAAAGACAATTAGCTGAGCTGGAAACTG